GATCTTTGGGCTTAGGATTCCCATTAGATATGTGGGCTATTATACTGCTGTATCATACTATAATAAAAAGGTTAAAAAAGAAAACTATTTCTCAGGGCCCTGTTATTCCCATTTTAATCACCCCCTCTTATACTGAAATTGACGTTTAATAAAGTCTGCTTTGGTCTAGTTGAGTTAACATAAACTGGTGTAACCAGGGACGTGTCTTCCAAGGGCAAAAAAAGGCATCTGCTTTGGGCGGCACTTTGCAGGCTTTTTTTGCCGCCCCCAAATGCACAGGCAGATCCCTTGTTTGCCTCGTGTTCTGGGGGCTCAAGAGCTGGATGGCTGGCCACTTTTGAGCCCTCCAAGGTGGGCGGCGGGCAGCGGGCAGCGAGGGAGCATGCTCGCCTGAGCTCTTCCTGCTCAGCTCCCTCCGTGCCGCTTTATGAAGCCGGGAGCTGGAATATGATGTTAGACTGGCTCCCGGCATCACTAAGCGGCGCGTAAGGGAGCTTAGCACGAAAATCAGAGCTCCCTCGCCGCCTACTCTGCCTGTCCACCCCTGTGTCTGCTGTTCCAGCTTGCATGGGATTCAACTGGGAAAGTCCTTGTAAGGGACTAGAGCTCCCTGGACTGAGTGTTGTCCAGTGCCTGGGGGTGTCTATAGCGAATTCCCCATTCGGCTCCAGGAAGGAGAGGTTCCAGGGCCCCAGTCAAGCCACGGCGACTGGTGGGCAAAAGTGCTGTGGTTTGTCCTCTGTTCCAGCTAGGAAGCTGTCCTTGGCGGAGGTACCAAGCCAGTGGTACAGGGAGCTCCGTTACATCAAGTAAAAAGCAAAAAGGAGTAGAGTTGCACTTGTTCAGTTAGCTTTTTACTACACCACTTTCACTCAACAGATGTGAATTGAAGGGAGGTGGGAGTGAGATTATTAACTTTTATCCATGTACAGTTTTAATTACTGTACATGGCTATTCTCAGCAGAGCATAGGAAATGAGTTTATTATTCCGAGGTAATAAAGGAATACTATAGTGCTGGGAATACAAAGTAGTATTCCTCGCATTATAGCTTCCTGGTGCCCCTCTCTCACCCCCTACCTGGTGCACCCCTAAGAATAGTAAGAGTTAAAATATCCTTACTGTACTAACCCGATTCCAGTACTGATGTTCCCCACTACTAGATCAGTGTTCCATACCCTTCCCCATCACTGGGGGTGGATGGCTAATGCACAGCGATCGCATTTGACACTCCCTATAGGAAAGCATTGCTGCAATGCTTTATAATGGGGAACTGACTAATGCTGATGTAGTGCATGAGGATGTCCAGTGTCAGTTAGGTGACCAAAAGTTGCCTAACCACCAGGAAGTGTCTTTAGCAGCTATCTGAGACACAGGCACTAGAGGCAGTTTTAACACAGCAAGATAATTACCAGGGTTAAGGGGAAAGGACACTGCACCCAGACCACTTCAATGAGCTGAAGTGGCCTTAGTGTCTATAGTGTCCCTTTAAACTATCACCTTATTGACGTTACCTGGTCAGCATCACTTGTCAGCATATACCTTGTTAGACAAGTTGAGAATCGAGTTTGACCTACAAAATCTTATTCTAGAAGAGTGAAGTGAAGACCAGCAGAGACATACATTATTCCTAATGTCCAGGATAGTTGTAACTGCAAAGTGTATGATTGGTCCTGGAACCCAAACAGCTTGCAGTGATAGTGACTTCCTTACCTGATCAGTTGCAGTAATATAGAAGGCAAACAACAGGTAGGTCAATAAATAGTCTTATAAACATCAAATCTGAGATAGCTTCTAATCCAGTGGAAAAGACATACCTATTGAGTCACTCTAAGTGCCATTACCAGTATAACATATTGAAATGGTTTTGGTGCAATGAGTGCAATGTGTCCATGAGTGCTGTTCCCATTTTCTGTCAAACCATTTGAAGCCATTTGCAGTTACATGAGTTATATGTAAATTACATTTCTGCACTATTAAACGTACATCTCTTCAACCTTGGATGGCAATAATGGGCCAAAAGCGCTGGGTATGAGTTATTAGAAAGCTGATAACTGAACTACAAGTCCCAGAAATCCTTTCTCTGACAAGAACTGAAGTAGCGCATGAAGAGTTTGAAAATCTGCTAATCGACTGCTAAAGAATGTGCACAAGAAAAATTGGGTAGACTGATTTATTGGCGTGAGTTCTCATGTGGAGGTTCGTGACTGCAACATTTGTAGCCTATGCAAAGATAGATAAACAGTTAGTGGTCAACTGTATAGATCCCATTGAGAGTGTTGGCTAAGCTACTTTCTAGTGTGGATTTCAACTACAGCAACTTATTTTATTATTTTGCATCAGTAGCATTAGCATAGTTTTTAAACACAATACCTATATTTTTCATTAAATAGACTAGGTCATTTCCACAATGACTGCCCCTTTAAGGCTTGTTCAATAATTTAAAGGTAAATGCAGGGCTCCCAACTGTTCTGCTTTTGGAGGCTCAGTCCCTATTTTTGAGGTCATGTCCCGCTGTCGCAATTTAGTTGCCGTCCCACATTTAGGAACACCAGTCAACTGTCCCTGGGGACGCCAGCTGGCACTGAGCAGCAGGCAATACGACCATAGAGCACTCTCTGCATTGTCCTGTATGTGGGGGGCAATTGAGAGGCTAAGGGTCAGTCTGCAAGCTTGACAACATGGTAATTGTCCCATTTAGGGGATGGAAACAACCACTTCCCAGGTAGGCTTGTCTATTACAGATGTCTCCAGTGACACATGTTACATCACTGGTCAAGCCCCCTGAAAGCCTAGCCACATATCCTGCTTCCATACAATGTATTCCAATGTTATATATGATTTTAAATTTATTGCTGAACACTATATTATTAATTTGTATAGCAGTGCTTAAATTATTAAAAGAATGGATAACAACATCATATGATAGATGATTTTTCCAGCAACCTACTTTGGAGCTTGAGGCTGAAGATCTCTTAAATTTTTATAATTATAAATTCAGTTGAATTATTCTGATATAACTGTACTGTCAGCTCAACCATTTCTGTACAATCTATAACATTTCTGTGACACTATAGTCACCAGAACAACTACAGCTTAATGTAGTTGTTCTTGTGAGTATAATCAATGCCTGCAGGCATTTTAATGCAAACACTGCCTTTTCACATTGCCCTATAGGGACACCACAAAGTGGCCAATCCCTAGATGGCTACTGGAGGTGCTTCCTGGTGTAGGCGTGTGTGCGTGTGTGTGTGTGTGTGCGTGTGTGTGGTATAAGTTCTAGTATAGTGTCAGAATGTTGAGTACTTATTGGGCAGGCATTGTGGGCATGTGTTGAATGGAGCAAACTGTATGTGTTGACTGAAGCAAATTGAGTGTCATTACTGATTCTCATAGAGAATCCCTGGAGCATGGAGATTGGTGGACAATGGCAGAAATACAGGAAGCAGGGAAAAAGCAAAGGGGGAAATGATATGCAATCAGAGGAGGAGCAGAAAATCTGATCAAATTAAAGATCAATAAACATGCTTCTAAAGCTCATGATTGCACTTTTTAGGGGAGAAAAGCATTTAGCGACAGTAGGTTTACTGTTGGGGGGAGGATTGGAAGGATATACAATTTTTTTTTTTACCTATACAGTTCCTTTAAAGATTGATTTATTAATTTCTTTGTTTTTCTTCACCTTCGAGGCTAGGTTTTATTACGAGTTTAATATTTTTATATTCTTGAGATTACTCTTGGAGTTTAATTTCTCTATTTTGTAGTATTCTAGCTTCCAAACCAGATATAATTGTCTACCATATTCATTTTGTAGAACAATTAGTAAAATTCAATTAAATCTATCTTGAGGAAGTGAATATTTGAGCAAGTTATCCATATGTATTTCAGTTTAAGGTGATTAATAGGTGTCCTATGTCAAATAATAACCTAAATACAGTTAAATAAAACTTAATCTGCTAGAATGATTTAAACTGACTAATGTGCTCTTAATATCTCTGCTTTAATTTTCATTATCATTTTTTATTAAAATCTACTCCAGTTTGCAATTGATATTCACTAGAAGAACATAGTTTTCAGCTGGTTTACAATAAGTTTAAAAAAGGTTGTTATTTTTTTACACAGGGTATTATCCATGTTACATTATATGAACAAAAAATAAAGATGGTTTCTTATATTTAAATAATGAATGAAATTTTGTTCCACAGCATGATCAAATTAGCAAATTAATTAGATATGTTGGTAGATCTGCCATCAATGTTGTCACTTCAATTGCAGTATCGCCTCAAGGTTATATATGACCTATATAGCGATTTCAAGTAATTAGAATCTAAATAGACAAAATGTACTCAAAGTCATAATTACTTTTACTTGATTTTTGTTGCAATTCCAACTTTCATCCTCAATTTCCAAATGTATATATTTATTAATTTAAGAGTTGCAGCAACAATAATGAATTATTAAATCACATCGTGGTGACTCAGTGTTTGTAAACTCTAAAAAACATTTTTCCAGTGCAGTATCTTCACACAAAATATTATAAAGAGAAGGGATTCGGGTAACATGATAGAAATGTATATTAACAAACAGAAAATGTAAAAAAATATTAAAAAATATAGTTTTTGTTCACATAAAAATATAGAATTATGGATTATCCTTCCCACATAGATGGTAGAGGCTTACACAGGAATATGTAGTTAAAGCATTGGATGGACACACTGTTTGCCAGGAATGAAAAATGTCTAGAGAGAAAAAGGCCTGCTTGGATACCTGCTTGGTCCAATTGGCTTTTAACTGCTTTCAGAATTCACATTTCTATGTTAGATTGCAAATGTTAAGTAAGTTAGTAAGTGCAAAAAAACAAGAGTCAAATGCACACACTAAAAATAGGTGAATATTTTCTGCAGGGTGCTCCGGAAAGGGAGGCCTAATCCCTGAAGATATCAAATGGGGAAAAAAAAATATCCAGGCACACTTGAGGTTTTTTCTAAAAGGCAGTCTTTATTTGAAACAAGGAAGTGGAGACAATGTTTCGGCTCCTCTATGAGCCTTTATCGAGTCTAGACAATTAAAAAAAAGTCTAGACGTGATAAAGGCTCAAAGAGGAGCCGAAACGTTGTCTCCACTTCCTTGTTTCAAATAAAGACTGCATTTTCCAAGTAAATTAGTGTAGGCACACATCGTTGGGTAGGAATGCATTGAATCTAAAAATCTACATATAAATGCAGGTCTGAATTGTATCTTTGAGGAGAAGAATTTATATTTGTTATGCTTAATTGAGCTGCATTGTCCTACTCTTTTTCTGTTGGGGGTAGCTAGCCTTAACTCTTGACTGTATGATTTGTTTTGCAAGTAAGACCATCTGTGCAGTCATCAACCCTCATAAGTACATGTAAGCTCGTTTGAGCAGGGTCCTCATCAACCTATTGTCCTGTAACATTTTGTATTTGTCTTATTATTTATTGTCAAATTATCCCCTTTTATAACATTGTAAAATATGTTGGTGCTATGTAAATGTCAATAACAATAATGATAAATGATATAATGAAGAGGGTATTTTGATAGGTGAATGTAAACTGGATTTATTTGTGATACATATATCTTTGGTTGCTGAATCAGGGTTTCATAATAGGACCCATGGCCAATAAATAAAATAACAGACACCTTCCTTGTTGGGTAAATGCATAAACTACAGTTTTTTATGTGGTTCCAAAACCAGATCACAGAAATTGAACATAACCTTAAGTCTGTGCTACCACCAGGTAGATAGTAGATGGTTCTAACCCTATAATATTTTTGCTTCATTGAAGGGCATGTCTGCCAGAGCCTACCAGAAGCGGGATAACCAGTTCCAAACTTCTTATGCTGGTCAGGAACTCCCACAAGCTGTAACAAAACAAGAAAGCACAGTAACTACAGTAATTAACAAGGGGTGGGAGAAAGTGTGGGACAGGTGATACGTGCTGCTCTTAAGGGAACGATTTGCTAATCTTCGGCCGTCAATTAGATCAACAACAACAACAAATCAATATTGTAATACATTACATGGTAGATATTATGTTTCTATTTAAGTATGTACATTGTACACTGTATCTATGGGCACATTTTTACTGTCAGTATGTTTCTCACGATTGAGGTGGTGCAGTGCTTATCAAATAGACCCCTGCTTGTGATTCAGCTCGCAGATCGTCTATCGAATTCATATATATTTTTTTGGTCGCTTATCTTGTTTCATTTCATTTTATATATTTTTATTTTTACTTCTTTTTATTTTGTTATGACATTATGGTTTCTCAATGTGCTATGATTTATTATTTGTTCACGACCTCTTGTGATTTTTATGTGAGTCTGGGCTCGACTATAATGTCTGGTGGTATGTTTGAATTTTAGTATATATTGGTGTTTAGTCTATGTAATGGTTATCCTGATGAAAGTCTGCTGTTTGGACTGAAACGTTGCTTTAATGTAACCATTTGGGAAATAAAAGTTTGAAGACTACTACAAATCCAGTGAGTGCTCTCCTTTGTGTTGAAATTGGGAGTGTATGGAGCAGCACCTTGGTGAGGAAAGCAGACAAACTTGTGCAAGACAGAGGCAGAGTGCAGAGCATTGTCATTGATGGTGTCTATATTTTTCCCAAAGTGCTGCAATGTGTGATCTAATAACCTCGGGAAGAATGTTTGTTTTAGTCACAGCAATTCTGTGATGTAATATGGGTTCCTGGGGTGGAGCATTTGGAGTGAAGTAAGGGTCAGTGCTCCACTCTACAGTTTACATGCAGCACAGCAGGCGAGGAATCCAGTTCCGCAGTTCTGAATCACCCAGGTAGTTGCTAACCTGCAATGGGCAGGGGCACGATCTATACACCAAAACTGCTTCATGAAGCTAAAGTTGTTGAAGTGACTATAGTGTGTCTTTAATGTTTTTGTTTATTTAATACCTTTTTTATTTTGTTCTACATTTTTACAGACATAAAAAATAAACATGTCAAATTTTGCATAGAAATGTCAATATTGAATTAATTTTTTTTTTAAACTAAAAATGACCCCTTCTTAAAAATCTTTTATTTTAAAAATATGCATAGTGTTTGGGGTAGTATGTAGATAACATTTTTGCTATTTAGGAATACATTAATATTACGATAATGTTAAGCTTACTATATAGTCCAATTAAAGAATGATGTGAAAGAAAAATTAATATAAAAGAAGAAAATGTGAAAGTCTGGCATTTATATTAAACAATGACTTGGTCTCAACTGTAATAACGTTTTAATTGAAATAGTTGTTATATATCAAACTGTGATGTAACTGGCATGTTGTGATGAATAAATTTGTATAAGTATTCCAGATCACAGTTTATAAATGCTATATTGACTGGAATACTAAGCTAAGGAGTTCAAATAAGGATAGTGGCAAGCTTCATATTGAGCTTAAATCGAGCTGTTCACAAGATATGTCAATGGAACTTACATTGAAATAGGTGACGAAGGACTTAGCCAATTTTGTTCCTTAAGTTTCCCTGAGATGACATGATTTTTTTATGAATCCTTCATCGATGAATCGTCGCTTCTCAATTCCTTTCAACTGTTAAGATTTAATGAATACACTCACAATACTACTTTAACATCTCGGTAATGTTAGCAGAACTAGTACATTTCAAAATGAAGATTTTTTTTTTTTTTAGGTAATATGCACAATAGCCAGTGTTAATTTGGACACAAATTCATGAAAAATATTTTGAAGAATAATAGGAAATTTGAATATATATATATATATATATACATACAAAGAGGGGACAAAGTATTTAATCCCCTGCTGATTTTGAACGTTTGCCCACTGACAGAAATGATTAGTCTATAATTTTAATGGTAGGTGTCTGTTAACAGTGAAAGACAGAATAACAAAAACTAAATCCAGAAAAATGCTTGTCAAAAAAGTTATAAATTGATTTGCATGTCAATGAGTGAAAGTACTTGATCCCATATCAATCGGCAAGATTTCTGGCTCTCAGGTGTCTTTGATACAGGTAACGAGCTGAGATTAGGAGCACTCTCTTAAACTCAGCCTGTTACCTATATAAAAGACACCTGTCCACAGAAGCAATCAATCAGATTCCAAACTCTTCACCAAAGAGCTGTCCAAGGATGTCAGGGACAAGATTGTAGACCTACACAAAGCTGGAATGGGCTACAAGACCATCGCCAAGCAGCTTGGTGAGAAGGTGGCAACAGTTGGTGTGATTATTCGCAAATGGAAGAAACACAAAGTAACTGTCAGTCTCCCTCGGTCTGGTGCTCCATGCAAGATCTCACCTTGCGGAGTTTCAATGATCATGAGAATGGTGAGGAATCGGCATAGAACTACAGGGGAGAATCTTGTTAATGATCTCAAGGCAGCTGGGGCCATCGTCACCAAGAAAACAATTGGTAACACACTATGCCGTGAAGGACTTAAATCCTGCAGCACCAGCAAGCTCCCCCTTCTGAAGTTTGCCAATGAACATCTGAATGATTCAGAGGGAAACTGGGTGAAAGTGTTGTGGTCAGATGAAACCAAAATCAAACTCTTTGGCAACAACTCAACTCACCGTGTTTGGAGGAGGAGGAATGCTGCCTAAGACCACAAGAACACCATCCCCATCTGTAACGGATCGCCTGGCACCCCGACTGGGTACCTCCGTTGAAGGATGCTCCTAGCGCTTCCTGAGGACTCCAAGCACTGCAGCAGACACCACAATCACCGAACCGGAGAAGCGTATACCTGCTCTCAAGCATTTGAATGCTGTATACAGTTGAATAGGAACCATACGAATAGGTTTACTCTCCTAGCAGTCAAACTGGAACAGCATACAATGAATCCTTCCCCCAATAATGAGACAACACTTCACTTTGAGGGTTAAAACAGGAACTCCCTGTACTGTCACATACAGTCTCTTTTATTCCCAATCCACAAACATAGTACAGCCCACAGGGCGTTACAAAACAGCCAATCAATCCATACAATACACCCAGACACTCCCACACAAAATCCTCCCCTCTGGCTGTGATATGATTACTGAACACAATGGGTAATCTAATTATCACAGCCAGAGAAATACAGTTTCATAAAACACATCACAGGGAGCCCAAAACATGCAATAACCCCATAAAAATCCTTGGAACTGGGGGATCTGGGTGCACCACATATACAAAATTCACCAAGATCCGTTCAGTACTTTGGAAAATACAGTTTAATGCAGATTCTGCAGAACATATACAGGCTAAATAAAAAACAATCACTGTATAATGTGTCCCCTGCTGTATAGTCCAAAACCACTGCACGATGTCTCTCTGCAACAAATACTGGTGAGATGGCACCGTGTTGAAAAGTCCAAACAGTGTCTGGGAGTTAAAATGGCCGCCATCCATTGTTCTCACCATGTGCTTCTTTCTGATACAGGAAATGGTGGCCACCCAGTAACTCCACAGTATGTCCCCAGATGGTTCTTAAAAGGGCCAGCAGCAGCACAACACAAATCCATTATGCCCAAATCATGTCTTTAAAGGGCAATACATCCCAGGGCAGTGGCGTACACATGACCCATGGGGCCCCGGTGCGAAAGTCCGTGTAGCAGCGGCGCACCGGGCCATAACACATGGCGGTGGGCACCTGGTCACCAGGGGTTACAGGGCTGCGACCCCTGCGACCTTGCGAGCGCATACGCCAGTGCATGCAGATGCACACACACTTAAAAGGACCACTCTAGGCACCCAGACCACTTCAGCTTAATGAAGTGGTCTGGGTGCCAGGTCCAGCTAGGGTTAACCCATTTTTTCATAAACATAGCAGTTTCAGAGAAACTGCTGTGTTTATGAATGAGTTAAGCCTTCCCCTATTTCCTCTAGTGGCTGTCTCATTGACAGCCACTAGAGGCGCTTGCGTGCTTCTCACTGTGATTTTCACAGTGAGAGCACGCCAGCGTCCATAGGAAAGCATTATGAATGCTTTCCTATGTGACCGGCTGAATGCGCGCACAGCTCTTGCCGCGCGTGCGCATTCAGCCGACGGGGAGGAGAAGAGGAGGATCGGAGGAGGAGAGCTCCCCGCCCAGCGCTGGAAAAAGGTAAGTTTTACCCTTCCAGAGCCGGGCGGGAGGGGGT